ATATACATTCATATAAAATATCAAAAGGAATTAATATTAAATATTTCTACAAATAGTTATAAATCTGCTGCTAACTATATTTTTTAATAGTAATTTGTGCATTAAATTATAAGGCATTAGTCGTTGAGCTTAAACTATTTTGATTGTTTGCAGTTTTCATTAATTAATTACTGTGTTATTTTAGGTTTATTTCAATAGATTACTGTTGAATGATGCTTTGTAAGGCTGTTTTGTGCGCTAAACGTCTTCTTACTTAAAAAAAAAATTTATAAAAAAAATAAAATAAAATTAGGCTGGTATTGTCACTTGCGCAGCAAATAAATTTAGCGAAGCAAAAGGTTTGACGAACACACCTAAATGAGTTTTCGATTGTAAAATTTTTTTTTGCACCAAACCGTTCGCCACGCTAAATTTATTCGCTTCGCAAGTGACAATAGGTTCGTTATTCGAAAAGTTTAGTAAGAATTGGGCATTATTATAATTCTCTTAAATTCTCTCTCAAGTATAAAAACTTGCAAATTTCTGCACGAACGCAAATTTGCAAGTTTCACTACCAACCGGTGTCCACGGTTGCATTTCAAACATAATACCATTTTATAGTTTTTAAAATTCTTTCGGCTGGAAAAAAAAAACTGAATTTAAATGTATTGCGATTTTTCTTAACAAGAGAACTTTAACTTTGCGTATACGTACAAATTTTTTGCTCGACGAACAAAACTAATACCATAATTGTAAAACAAAAAAATCTAATCTTTTTGTGCAAAGTTAATTGTATTTTTTGTTGTATGCTTAACTTTTGTGCGTCTCACTTACTATTAGTTGTGCATATTTCATTATTTAATTGCGATTATTATTTTTTTTTTTTAATTATGCGTGTATGTAAATTATTTAAGTAAATGAGTTGATTTTTATTGTGTATTAATTCTTATATGTCATATATGTACTAAATATTTATTTATATGTAAATCAGACCCTTTAGTTATGCGTTTACACTGACGACACAACATCAAAAGCTACTACTATTTTGTATTTGTTGCACTTTGCGGCCTACCGAAAATATTTAGATTAAAAAAAAAAGTTTGTAAGCTAACTAAAAATTATTTCTCTTAAACACTCTGTACTTAGCAACTTTCTTTTGACTACCACTTCCGCAACTAACTTACTTTAGTAGATTTTTTTTTTTGTATAAATAAATCCCATTTTACTTAACCTCTTCCAGTCTTTGTGTTATACGTTTCGCCTGTAGCATTGACATATTTGCTGTTTTTGCTACTGTTGCAGCTGCTGCTGATGCCGCGGCAGCATTCGCTGGCACAGTCAGTATCGGTTCAGGTGATGGCGACGGTGATATAACAATTTCATTTTTAATGGTTAAGTCACTCTGCAATTTTAGCAATGACACAGCTGACATCGGCGATGTTGGCCTCGATGTGTCACGCTCCTGTGGCGGTGCATGCAAAACGCCGATACCGTTATCCAAGTAATCATTTTGCATGATTGACCTTTGCTGATGTTGTTGGTGCTGCTGTTGTGCTAATTGCTTTTGTTGCTGCTGTGCTAGTTGCTGTTGTTGATGCTGCTGCTGCTGCTGTTGTTGTTGTTGCTGCTGCTGCTGTTGTTGTTGTGCCGCAGCACTCGCCGTGTATATTGCAGTTTGCATCTCCTCCGCCGTTGCCGCCGTAATCAAATAATTCAGCGGATTGAAACTGTTCGCGTCGCGCGCCACAAAATTCTCATGCGCCATCTTTAGATGATTCTTCATTTTATCCGGTCGCGAGAACTCCTTGCCGCACAAAGTGCAGGGGAAGACTTTGCGCACCTTACCCTCGTGATAGAGGAAGGCATGTCGCTGGAAGCTGTACTTGTTTTTGAACGTCTTTTGCAAGTCTTCTTTAGCGCACTCAGTGCATTGGTAGACGCCTTCGTTGATGCGCGCATACCGGAAGAGATCGAGTCCACGCACCGACATTTCGGTCAAGTGTTCCGCTTGATCGTCGATTGTAGATTGCGCTTTGCGTCGTATACGTCGTCGTTGCACTGGCCGCCGGGAGGTGCCACTTGAGCGCGCCGTCGTAGTGAGAGCTTCAGCAGCGTTCGAATTCGCATTCGAATTCGTATTTGCATTCGAATTCTCATTGTCTGGTGCATCAATTATTGTTATTGTTGTAATGGCGACTGCATCATCCATGTTGCCTTGTGATGTGTCGGCGTTTTTGTAATCCAAACCCGCAGTCTCATCGGCTAGCGTCAATTCTGGCTCTGACTTGTCTGTCTGGTCGAGTATGAGATCCATATTTGTGGGCGACATGCTGTCCTCACGTTGCAGCTCCTGCTCGAGTAATTGCGTTGATTGAGATGGCGGTTGTGTCTGCTTGGCTTGCGATTGTTGTTGCTGCTGCTGCTGCTGCTGTTCTTGTGCAGCTAATTGCTCCTGTTGTTGCTGATGCAGATTTTGTTGTGCCTGCTGTTGCTGTTGTCGGAAGAAATCAGCGCTCGGCTTTAACATGGGATTGGCGGCCATGTGGAGCAAGAACTGGTGGTGTAAATTGTTAGCCGATGGCGGCTGTATTGCATTGGGCGTTTGGCGTTCAGCAACACTCGCAAGCGATTGCAGCGCTGAGCAGCCGAAATCAGTGGTACTATTATTTGATATTGGTTCAATTGACACGTTGTTAGTAGAAATTTCTTTAAGTCCGGCGCGTAGCTGCTGCTTCAACAGGGAATTGGTGTTTTGTGCGATGTTATGTTGTTGTTGCTGTTGCTGCTGCGGCTGTGGTTGTTGTTGTTGTTGTTGTTTATTTTGCGGTGAAGCCGTCAATTGCAGAGAATTACGTACCTTTAGTCCCAAGGCGGTGGGTAAGTGCGTAATGGCATCCTGAGCTTCGTTAAGTTGTAGGAGTGATGCTTGTGTGGGTGTCGTTTGTGTTGCATCATTTTGTGACTGCTGTGGCTGTTGTTGTTGTTGTTGTTGTGGTTGTGGTTGAACCGTGGCTGCTGGCTTAATCAAACCAAAGAGCCTTTGTGATAGTTCCGGTGATGTGGTAATTAATTGCACTATGAAAAGAATAAAAGAAATAAAAAGAAAAAAAATAATTGTTAAAAATCACGGTAAAGTTTGACGACAGCTAAAATGCAAGTAATGTGGAGAACAACATAGGCCACGGTAGAAGTTTTTCAAAACGTTCTATATGTTCGTTATATGTATGTAGATATTAAAGGTCTGCATCGGAATTCAGTTTGCTTCACTGTGAAGTTTTTTTCAAATATGTAAACTACTCATACTTTAACAAAGAGGGCATGGAAGGAAGAGAAGTGAAAATTTTGAGCACTGTATACATGAAAAAAGTACTCAAACAAAATATGTTCCGAAAAAAAGAAAAACATAAACAAGCAGTACTATGGTGTTAAACTTCCACAAAAAATATGTTCCTTCACAAGTATTTTTTGAGTATTTTTGGAAGTTTTCGTTTAATAAATACTACATAATGTTAACAGACATGGAAAAACAATGTAGGGAATTATCAAGGCTAATACCCAGCTAGCCCAATGCCGAGCGAGAGACAAAAGGGACTCCCACAGCAACACCTCGAAGGAGCGTTTTAAAATATGGGATGAATAAGCATTCCATATGGGTTATCTGCGGATGACCTATTAAAGAAGAAACGTTATTTTTTACCAAACTGCTTCACCGATCATAACCAAATTGCGATGTACATATCAGATATAATTTTAAAAGATCTGCAGTTCTCAATTGCCCACTGTGTTACAACGCGTACACATTTTTTTTTGGACTCGTTATCTACTACTACTACTAGAAATGAGATAGCATTTGTGCTTCAACAAATTTGACGTGCTTTTGTCGTTGAGTTTTAGAACGCTGTTACACCTTTTGCATGCCACAATATTGTCGATTTCTTGTCCGTCTTCATTTTGAATTCCTGCGTAAAACTCCCACACCCTGCTTCTACCTTGCCTTTGTACCAATTTATATTCTCCGTTTGAAATTTTTGTTTTAATTTGCGCATTGGTGGGATTTTGGATGGTTGGCTTTCAGTTTCCATTGCTGATGCTAAATTTAATGGTGATAGCTTAATAACACAGGTTTAGAAAAAAAAGTGTATGCATATTAAACCAAACCTATATATATCTCTATGTTATTTGACACGCTGAATGCGAAACCCGTTAGCCCCCACCACGTCAATTTGTGGTCAGTTGAAGGCCAAGTAGGGAAAAATTCATTGAATAAACCTGGAAGTTCAATAAATTCGTATAGATGACCTTGAGGAATCAAGGGACCCCCATATTCGGATTCAGCGACAACTAAAACAAAAAAACATTATTTTAATTGAATAAATTGTTTGTCCTATTTGACCCTCAACTGACCTCGAACCTGACACTATGGAGGTTAACGGACCTCTGATTCGGGTTCTAAAACCCCACATATATGAATTTTCAGGTTTATTCAATGCATTTTTCCCTGCTTGACGTTCAACTGACCACGAAGCTGACGTGATAGAGGCTAACGGACCTCGGATTCGCATTCAGCCTGTCGAATAACATAGGGTTTGGTTTAATATGCATACACTTTTTTTGTAAACCTGTGTAATTTTTATCAATATTCGTTTATAATTAAAACACTTTTCTTTTATATTTTACTCACTTCTTTAAGATAATTTTTCTGTGGATCACACGAACGAGATTTCAAATAATACACAATGCAAAATGTTAGCTAAACCCTAGTTGCGCGAAACAATAAAATAAGCCCCCTTTCTTCAACGAATCAAATTCGACAATGAAAATAAAATTTATGAATTTAACATTATGTTAAATGATAACATTTTGAAAGAAAAAAACTTCATAAGTATTCGTATACTTCCTATGAAGTTTTCAAATA